AGTTTTCCATCTGGTGTGGGTGAGTGATAGTCTACTTTGATTTTGGTTAAGGTGGATTATCACTTACAGTGTAATCAGTGAGGGGATTCTACAGACTGTTGAGGGTTCAGCCTCCTGATGAGACGGTGAAACTCCGACGAAACAGTTTGTCACAGCCCCTCGTTTGTTGTCCTCTTCTCCCTCTCTGCCTACGGTTTACCGGGCAGTTCTGTTTGTGACGATATATATATATATATATATATAACTTTGTGACAATGTATATATTGTCACACAAAAACTCCCCGGTGAATCGTAGGCTGGGAGGGAGAAAAGGACAACAAACATATACATGCAGTCTAGAGAAATATATGTCACGGCCCTTGTTTGTTGTCCCAACCGGGCAGTTCTGTTTGACGGTATATATATAGACCTATATATATAGTCAAACAGTATATTTATCTATATGTATATATATCGTCAAACAGAGCTGCCCGGTAAACCGTCGGCAGAGAGGGAGAAGAGGACAAGAAACAAGGGGCTGTCACAAACAGTTTCGTCCGAGTATATATGTATATGTCTACACATATGTATATATACATATAGATATATATATAATATATATATATTATATATATAATGTATATGTCTCTATATATACATATGTATATATACATATATATATATATATATATTGTTTCCCCCGTTGTTTGGCCCTTTGAGCGCGGGGCGGTGCTGTATGTGGGAATCGCCATCCGGGATTGTCTTCTCCTTCTTTTTGGTTGTCACATTGTGGATTGGAGCCTTTTTTTGTTTTGCTGATTTTGTCTGTACCTCGGGTGGTTTGGTCCCGTTGTTCGGGCTATCTTATGGGCGTGGCTGTGCTTTCATGTGGGACCAGCCATTCGGGTTTTTGGYATCCTGGTTGGTTGTTTCCCGTTGTTCGGCCCTTTGAGAGGCGGGGCGGTGCCTGTATGTGGGAATTGTCATCCAGGATTGTCTTCTCTTTTTTTCTTGGTTGTCACACTGTGGATCGTCGCTTTTTTATGTCTTGTCCTGGGTGGTCTTGTCCCGTTGTTTGGCCTTTGACGGAGCGGGCGGTGCTTGCATGTGGGACTTGTCATCTGGGATCTGTCTTGTTTCCCTCTGTTCTATTTGTTTCATTTGGCTGTTCCCTTCCTCTCTTCTTTCCCTTTTGCCTTTTGGCTGTGTGCAAGTGGGTCGATATGACACAGGGGGGTGGGGGCAGCCGCCGCTCAACCTACATCCACGTGGGCGGCCTTGTACGCAAGAGGTTCTGAACAGGGGGAGTTGTAAGGAAGAAGATTAAAAACGAATTTAAGATTTTTTTGTTATTTTGGTTTTTTGGCTTAGGCGCTCTGATATCATGTGACAATATATTGTCACAAGCAGGGTTACCAGCCCGTACGTACGGAGGTCCCTGGGAAGACCTCCATACGTACGGGCGTTCGGGGTCCCGTGCGTTCGGCCCCCGCCAAAAAATATTTCGGGGCCTAAAAATATATATTTTTTTCTGAATGTTTTTTTGTGAGTTCTATCTGACGTGAGGTACACGCCTATAAATTTTCAAGTCATTTAGCTTAGCCAAATAAGTATTCAAAATCGCCAAAGATGGCGGTGTCAAAACGTTCTTGCCCACATTTTTTTTCACTTTTTACTTTTTGTTTTCACTTTAGTTCGGGGTCTAAACAATTTTATTATTTTTTGAAACTTTTTCTTAGTGTGTTTTGCATTATGTGAAGTACACATATCTAAATTTTCAGGGCATTCAGCTATTCCAAAAAAAAATGAAAAATCGCCAAAGATGGCGGTGTCGAAAACGTGCTCGCAAACTCACTAAATTTAATTCTTTTTTTATTTTTTGTTATTTTTATTATTAGTATTTGTTTTCGTAATTTATTTTTATTTCAAATTTGGCAAGGAATTTGGATGTAATGCTCAGGCAAATCTTGTTTAGTTTATTTTTCTTCATAACATATCTTTTTTTCAGATTTTTTTTTTTTTTTTTTTTTTTTGGGTCCGCGTTCGGGGTCCCATACGTTCGGGCGTTCGGCCCGTCCCGAACGCCGGTTACCCTATATATATATATATATAGATAGATATATATATATCGTCACAAATAGAACTGCCGAGTAAACCATAGGCAGAGAGAGAGAAGAGGACAAAATATATATATATAGATGAGTCGGTGAAACTCCGACGAAACAGTTTGTCACAGCCCCTCGTTTGTTGTCTTCTTCTCTCTCTCTGCCTACCGTTTACCGGGCAGTTCTGAAACAGAACTGCCCGGTAAACGGTAGGCAGAGAGAGAGAAGAGGACAACAAATATATATACATATGCAGGGTTGCCAGCATTCGGGACGGGCCGAACGCCCGAACGTTCGGCACCCCTCTCGACGCGCCGAACACAGACCCAAAAAAAAAAACAAAAAAAAAAAAACGAAATCCAAAAAATCTGAAAAATATATATGTTATGCAGAATAATAAACTTAACAACATTTGCCTCAACGTTACATCCAAATTCTTTACCGAATTTGAAATAAAAATCAAATACTAATAATAAAAGGAAAATGAAATTATTGAGTGGGCGAGCACGTTTTTGACACCTCCATCTTTGACGATTTTTCATTTTGTTTTGGCTGTGACAAATGCCATGGAAACTTATACATGTGTATCTTACATAATATAGAATCTACAAATAAAGTTTGGAAAAATAATAATTTTTTTCATGCCCCAAAATAAGGAAAAATAAAAAGTGAAAAGAGAGAAAAAACAAATTAGTGAGTGGGCAAGCAAGTTTTGACACCACCATCTTTGCTGATTGTTCTTTTTTTTTTTTGCCTAAACAGAATGGCTTCAAAATTAAGAGGGAGATACCTTATATCACAAAGAACTGACAAAAAAACATTCAGAAAAAAATAATAATATGTAGGTGCCAGATAATTTTTTGCGGGGTCCGAACCCCTTCAGGTGCGCCCCCCGTACGGGGACCCGAACGACCGACAGCTTAGGGGCCTCCATACGTTCGGCCTGGCAATCCTGTATATATAGATATATCCGACGAAACAGTTTGTCACAGCCCCTCGTT